CCCCCCCCCCCCCCCCCCCCCCGCCTTTTCCATTTGCTCAGAAAAAACACTTGGGATGAACATTGACTCCTCCCTTTCTCTCACACGGTACATTCTGTCTGTTTATGTTCGAAATATATCCAGGTTCTGATATCTTATTTCCCTCAATGCTACCTCATTTCCTTCCCAGATTATTGTCATAAATCTCATAATTGGTCTCCCTTTGCTCACCCTTCCTTTGCTACAATATCAATTCTCATGCAGTGGCCAGTGTATTCTTTCACATGTTAAGCCAGACCTGTGGTTTGTCTTCTTCAGCTGTCTCCCTGTAGCCCCAGTGGTGTCTTTGCTGGTCCTTGAACTCACCAGGCATGCTCCTAACTCAAGGCCTTTGCATTGGTTGTTCTCGCTGCCTTTTTCCAGATGATTACATCTCATACCTCCTTGAGTAATGTGATCAGGATAGGCCTCACCAAGCTGATTACAACCGTGGACCTGCACCTGTTCCTCTCATTCTGGTCTGCCATTTCTTCATCCATTTCACTTACCAGCTTCTAAGAGTCTGCATTTTAGCCTGCCACTTTGTCATGATGTTGGTTTTTCTAGTAAATAATTTTTTACATTTTAGTGGAGTCACATTTATCCATCTCTTTTTTCCTTAGTGGTTTGTATTTATTAAACCTTGCTTACAGACTCTCGCAGTATCCCAAGGTTATTAGGTTATTTGGATACAGTTCTTTTGGCTACTGCATGGGCTAGAAAAAGTTAGGCCTGAATGGAGGTTAAGAATAAGGCCTTGATTGGAGGTCCCTTCCATTCCCTCCACATGAGCATGACCAGAGGTCTTATTTAGGAAACCAGCCAAAAATAATCTTCCTATAAAAATGCCTAGACTGTCTTTCGATTCTGCAATGTGGGCATTGGGTCTCCAAATCCTGAGAGCTACGGAAGACTGAAGTTAGCTCTTATGTGAGTCATTGCAGGGCCTACATACTGTGTCATTTCTCAGAATGTACAGTGATTACAGCACAGACTGGTTTGTATGTTGTCCACCCACCAGATAAAGCAAACATTCTTTTCTATTTTTATTATTTTTAAAAATATTCTCATGTAAATTAGAATCTTAACTAGACATTCCTTTTTAGCAGGCAGGATTTAGCTAAGTCCTTTTTTTTTTCAGAATGCATTCCCTACTTCAGTTTCCTCTTAGAGATTTTAAAGGCTTTTATTTGGAGGAATTGCTTTTATTTTATAGTTTCTTAGGGACTTCTAATATCTCTCTGGTAATGTGTTTGCAGATGCCAATAGCCTCTAGGTCTGAAGGGTTAGAGTAATGAGATCATTCTGTTTTCACTTGTGATGTCTTGTTTTCAGTTTGTGCTATTAGCTCTTTCCTAGCTTCACAAGAGACATGATTGGACTCCAGTGCTGCTCGTCTTTCGTTGGGATGCTTGTTGGTGTACTATTTGTTTTCTTTCATTCTTTTGAGGGTATTTTGGCTGGGCCCAGTCCCTGTCTTAAGGGAAGGAGTTCTGTCAGCCATTTGCACACATTTTGATTTACCTCATCCCATGATCTGCATTTGAATGGCTGTTAGAACTGCTTTTCTTACCTTTTACATACTGCTGGTGTTTCAGAATAAGTAGAATAGGTTCAGATATTCAGAGTCTGTGGCAATCATAGGCTATGTAAGGCAAATGTCAATATTTTGTTGGATTCATTTTTTAAAACTATTCACTTAGGCTATTCTGATCACACTAGTAAATCGATTGTCCTCTATCGCTTGGTAAATAGGAACACACTGGCACTTCTTTATTTCTGAGGACTGATTCTGATAACCATTGATTTTGTGTATATTAAAAAGCCCATTCATTACTGGTACTTAACATCTTCTGTCTAGCAAGCATTCTTATTATATCATAGAGTGTCATCCTAAGCTCTATTTATGGCTTATGTTTCATACTTAGCTCCTCAGTAGTGACCCATGTTTATAAAAATTTCTATAATCCTATGTATCTGTCCTTGTATCATACAATACTCTAGCCAGGCAACTCTCATCTATCCCATTGTCCTTGTTAATTTCTATAAGAAAACTCAATGTTATATTAGTAAAGATTTTCATGTTTAGGCAATGATCATGATACCCAAGTACCTTGGTCATTGTTTGGCCATCCCAATTGTTTCTGGGTAGAATATGTGGGCTTACACACATCATTGGGAGAAGGAATAGAGATACATTCATTTTAAAAGTATGCTAACTTCCTAAAGGGGCACTGTAATGCTGCTGCTGCTGTTTTGTTGTTGTTGTTGTTATTGTTTTTTATACTATTAATAGAAGCAGGAGACAGTTGGATGATGATGAATGTTAAGCTCAAATTCAAATAATTATCTACATTCTGATAGATATTTTTTTGGTGGTACCCATGAATTGAAATGTTTAAATAATGTATCTTGGACTCCAAGGATTAGTTATGATCTAGGGGGAAAGATTTATTTAGATTCCTTTCATCTCAGTATTTTTATTAGGACTAGTTTTTATAGGGTATTAGAATGAGAAAGATTAATTATTTGGGAATCCTTGGCTATTTAAGAAAACAATGTAAACACTTGAAGAATATAGAATGTGTTGTACAGAGATAATCTTGTTTAGTTAGATGGCAAAGGCGTGACTGGGTGCACTCACCAGACAGCAGTGGGGGAAGCAGCAGCCTGCATCTAGGTTAGAATTAGTCCCTGATTTTCTCCTTTCCATATTTTAAGAAATTTTTTCAAGTATTATCTGGATCCTTGAGGTTCACAAAATTTGTACAGCTATTTATGAGTATACCAGAGGTCTGATGCATGGATTCATGCACCAGTGGGGTTCCTTGGTCTGGACTGCAGGTATCGGGACAAAACCAGCTCTCCGACATCCCCTATGGGGTCCTGAATTGTGAGAGGGTGATTCTTGGGTGACACACCCCAGAATCGGGCTCCTTTCTCTCTGGTTCTGGGTATCTCACCTAAGAACTGCAACTGTCAAGTCACTGCAGTTGGGCAGCTCCTGTGTTTAGTGTCTGTTCTTTGGTGGTCAGTCCAAGACATAGCTACTAGTTGGAGCATCTGCCCCCTGGTGGTCATTATGCATCATAGCTACTGGTTGAATAGTCAGATGGTAACTTAGGCTTTTATATAGATAGAGCAGTGGCCCAGTGCACGAAATTTGTGCATGGCGGGGGGCGGGGGAGGCGGTGGTCCCTCAGCCTGGCCTGCACCCTCTCCAATCTGGGACCCCTTGGGGGATATCCAATGGCTGGTTTAAAGTGGCAGTTGGACATCCTTCTCACAATCTGGGACCACTGGCTCCTAACTGCTCACCTGCCTGCCTGCATAATTGCCTGTAACCACTCTGCTTGCATGCCCCAACTGCACGCCCCTGCTAGACTGATTGCCCCCAACTGCCCTCTCCTGCAAGCCTGATCGCCCCTAACCACCTCTGCCTTGGCTCCACCACCATGGCTTTGTCTGGAGGGTCTCCTTGAAACAGTCTCCTGCTCTAATTAGTATATTTCCCTTTTATTAGTATAGATATGAGGGAGGTAGTGTACTTGGCTCTGGGGTCACAGGGTATAGGGCCTCTGTTTTCATGGAATTTAGGAGCCTAGTGGGAGAGAGCCAATACATTAATTATACCAACTGACCTAGCCAACATCTTTCTACTTCTCTGCACATGCTCTAACCGTTCTCACTCTCATTTTTTAGAGGCAAATTCCTATTGACTTTGAATGCCTGCTGTCATGACTACAAATATTGGATTCTTCCTCTTTTATTCCCTCTATTTTGTAGTCAATTCCTATTAATTCATTTCCTAAAAAAAGTTTCTCATATCTCTTAAGTTACTATCTATTTCCAGTTCTGTCATCTTTTAGACTCTCTTTCATATTCTGAAAGTTAACATTGCTTAGAGCAGTAACCTATTTTATGAGAACTCAGACCTGTGAGATGATAAAGTAATAGTGTATTTAGATTTTTTGTGTAAATGTTGGAATACTATCTATTTTTGCCTCTCTTTGTTTTTGTTGTTGTTTATTTTTTTAAATCCTCACCTGAGGCTGTTTTTGTTTTTGTTTTTATTTTTGAGACAGTGAGAGGGGGAGTCGGAGAGAGGGAGGGAGGGAGGGAGGGAGGGAAGGAAGGAGGGAGGGAGGGAAAAAATGTGTGTGTGTGTGTGTGTGTGTGTCCCTGCTGGGGATTAACATTCCCTTGACCAGAAATGAACCTGGGACCCTTCAAGTGCTGGCTGACTCTCTACCTACTGATCCAAACTGGCTAGGGCCATTTTGTTTGTTCGTTTGTTTGTTTTAACTTGAATTTTCTTCCTAGCTTTTCCCTATTCTGCAAACTCACATGAAATCCCACCTTGTCCATGAAACCTTTTCTGATTATTTCTTTCCACTGACCTGAATTTTTATAGCACATAGTGCCTAGTTTATATCATACAATTTAGCACTTATTCAAAACTGATTTTTGTTGCTTTTCCATATCTGTAGGCTTTATTTTTTAGGTTACAATAATTTTGAGTCCATGATTATAACTAGAGAGTGTGTTTGTATGGGGCTAATAGTTGGTAGGTGCTTAGTAAAGGCTTATGGAATAGTAGAATTTGATTTATAGTCTATCTATAAATATTCGAAGGGGCCCTAACACTTACTGAGCTTCTTATATATATCACATTTTATGATGGTATTTTCCTGTTGATTGAACTTTTAGGTTGTTTCTTGTTTGGGTAATTAGAAACATTCCATTGCTTGCTTTTCAGGCCATTGCATGAAAAAGGCAATCTTATTCCCTTTAAAGCATTTCACACAAAGCAACCATTTACTCTGTACCTAGCAATTATTTAATATTTGTGATACTAAGAAGTAGGTAGCATATTTCATTGCATCCTCGTATCTTGTGCCGTTCGCCACATTCATTTGTGTTTTGGGTTATTTTGTGTGTGTTTTTTTCATTCCTGATGTGCTATTTTATTTTGCTTTTAGGATAAGAACAAGAAACTGCGTCCACTGTATGACATTCCCTACATGTTTGAAGCCCGGGAATTTCTTCGAAAGAAGCTTATTGGGAAGAAGGTAAGTGACGACAGAGGTATTCTCTAGTGGTTGGGGATTATTTTAATCTGGGCCCTTGTGATGGAATCTCAGAGACCAGCAGGTGACTTCTCCATCAAGTCAAGCAGAATTGCTCTGGTATGTAGAGAGGGATGCCTTGGGAGACGTTTAAAATTGGGGCCCTGACCAAAGTGTGATTGCCACAAGTCTCAGGACACATTCTTTCCAGGGTCCAGGCTTAGTTGCGGTGTAATAATTGCATATTGCCCTGAGCCCTATGGCTTGGCCCCGTTCTCTCCAGCCACCCCCTCTAAAGGCTGGTGCTGTGGACCTGCAGTGAGGGGGGATTAGCACTTCTTCCTGCCTCCCCCTACTTCGGAGGGATGGGTTGGCTGTGGGGTCGAGAGGAGCTCTGCTGGAGAAGAGTATGCATCTGGGAGCGGGGAGTGAGTACGTGCTGTCCTGTGGAGCCTTTTGGGGAGCACACTGACTTTCTAGTCTAGTGTACCAGCTCAGAGGCCTGAAGGGCGAATTTCCTTGTGTTCTTGGAGCAGAATGTTCTATGACCAGCTGCAGAACTTGCCATTCTGGGAAGCTAATAATGAGCTTCTGAGTTCCCCCTTATTTTTCCTGACCTTCCCACCCTAAGTGTCTTATGCATTTAGTTCTTTGTGTCCTGGATAAACACAGGAAATGAATGGGATTGTCCTTTGGTAATGGGAAATCTGTTCAGGGAAGGACTATGATGGTCTTTTTCATACCTTGATTTCAGTGGGGGTTCTTGCAGACTAGGTCATGTTTTCGGCAAGTTTTTATTGCATCTTCAGAAGTCTTAATACATTGAAGCCATATTAACATTCTTTACCTAAATGTAGATTTTTTAAACTATTGGTTTAAGCTAATGCCCAAATAGTGTATAATAAATGTCCTTTTATTATGTTTTATTATATACCATAATCACTAGAATGATAAATTTTAGCAAGGGATTTTGAAGTTGGGCATAAGGTGAAATTGCTAATTTTGAGATAGAGAAAGCAAACTGGATTCCCTAAAATGAGTATTAAATCTGCTCAGGTTCCTTCAGAGCACAGGCTCATTTGTCATCGTATAAACCTTGACAGAATGCTGTATTCATTCATGAAGTGTGGTGCGGATGATGGCTTTAAGCCTCTTTCAATTTCTAGGTCTCCTGTTATCTGATCTACTGTCCAACATCTCTATTTCACCAAGTTGATATCATATCACTTATTTACTGGCTCATAAACAGTCGCATAGAGACAAGAAAGGAATTCCTTTACACACGTGAGTTTTATTGAAATTCATCCAAAATCACATTGAAAGGAATGGCAGCGCATATCATATTTGATTCATGAGCAGCCTGTTGTGTGGCATGTGTCATGACATCCACCTGGCTTCTTTGAAGATTGCCCTTCCTCCTTCGCTTTCATCCCCAGGAACACAAATCACAGTTTATTGCAGCAGCTGCTGAAAGGTCCTACAAGTGGCTCAGGGCTCGTCTCTCAAACACCCATGTGACAGGCCTTTGTAAAGTCCTCTAGTTCAGGATAAGGGGACTGACCTCAAGTGTCAGATATGGTGGCAATTCTGAAGCAGTTAGGTTCTTTCTTGGTGAGAGAAGCCTCATTTACTGGTTCCTGTGCATCCTAGCTGATTGCTTTCTTTTTGTGCTGAGCTCGTTTTGTCCCCCACAGTGACATTGTGTAAATGATAAATGCTATATGCCTGTGTGGGGAGCAGGATGCAGCTCAGCTCTGCTGGGCTGGAACATTCCTGATGTGAACTGCTTTTCCTGACTCACCACCTGAAACCACTTGCCTGTCTTCTGGGGCCATCAGTTGTGACAGCGAGCACCCATGTGCTCTTGACTCTGGAAGCAGTCAGGGCAGTCGCTGCCTCAGGGGGGTGGCTAGCACATCACCACACATTTCTGCCAGTTCCCTTCAGACTGGTGCAGCTGTTGAGCATGGCACATGGTGATTAAGAGGCACCGAGAGGGAGCATGTGTGCCTGTGTGCCTACCTGCCCATGTGCACCAAAGCTGATTAGGGCAACCTGTCACAGCTTAAGCAAGATAATGGAGGTAAAACCACCTTCTCCCGACTATTATTTTGACTATCCTAGAGAGTCTATAATGTGACAATTTTGAATAATTTCTAGAATGCAGAGGAATAAGATTGGAGGCAAACTGCTGAGGTGCTTTGTTAGGTTCAATGGCCTCCATTTCAGTTATGGAAATTCACTTTGATTCACTTCTAAGATTTAATTCTGGCTAAATGCCTTAATTAAAGTTACTATGCACCTCCCTGAGCCTTGGTCTTATCACTTGTGAATTAGGAATATTAGTTGCCTTTTCTCTGTCATGGGATGAGAATCTAGGATGGTGCTAGTCCTTCCAGATGCCAGTAAGATAATGTTGTTTTGTTTTAATAATGCTAATTTTGCTTTTGTGTAGAATCCAGTGTAGCTTTACTTGTTTATGATTTTTTTTTTTTTTTTTTTTTTTACTGGCTCTGGGTTCAAGATATGTTAGTCAATGTGCAATTAATTTGACTGTCAACAATCCATTATTCAGCTTTGTATGGTAGTTGGTTAGATATGTCTCCAGGGTTTCAGTTTCCACAAAATGAGTATCCACTCATGCCAGAGTATGTGAGTGTGCATGTTTTCTCTGGTTTGAGGGAGAGGTAGGAGACAAGTGTATGCTAGAAGGGTTTCAGAAGCTGCAGGAATTGCTATAGTGCCTGGTAGAACTCCCTCTCCACCCCATGTGTACCATCTGCCTTCTTTCACTAGAATCTTGCCTGAGGAATATGCATAGTCTTCACTGTTTGGGTTCTTCGTGGCCCTAGAAAAGGTGAGAAATGGAATCCATGGTAATTTCAACAAGTCTTTTAGTTTTCTAGAATGTTATCTCAGGTATTTAGGATGGTGAGATTGATACCTCCCTAAAAGAACCAGGGCTCTAGTTCTATCCTTAACAGTTTCTCTGTATACATATATTTTTCTTAATGCTTAGACAAGTCAACCTGTATTATTATAGAATCTTCTATAATAATAAAACTGTAATATGCAAATCGACTGAATAGCAGAATGACCTTCTGGACAACTGCGTTATGACACCAACTGACAGGCCAGCCAAGGCGGGTGAAATGCAATTGGTTGGGGGCCAGGCCATCACCTCATGATGCCCTGCAGAGGGAGGCCCAGGCCACCAGCCAATAGAGCAATCAATTAGGTGGCTCTACTATCACCCCAAAGAGGGAGGCCCAGGCCACCGACCGGCAGGCTGCAGCAGGTGGGCAGGACTTCCCTCTGCAAGGACAGTTCATCAAGGAGCCCGGCCAGGTGGGCATGGCCTACCTCTTTGGGGTGATTGATTACGGGGCTCCCAGACCGCGAGAGGGCACAGGCCGGCCTGAGGCACCCCCCTCCCCCCTCCCCTGAGTGCATGAATTTCATGCACTGGGCCTCTAGTAAAGTAATAATAACTGCACCTTCATTGGGAATTTTCCAACCTATTTCTGAGAATCTCTAAAATAGAATCTCAGTATTTCTAGTCTGTGTAATATGGCATTTACAAATGACATAATTGCAGTTATCATCACGGGAACCATTGTGTTCAGAGTTGGAACTTGTTTAGACAATTAAAGGGTCAGAATTGGTGGAAGAGATGGAATCACATAAAGCTAGAGTGCATTGGAGCATCTGCCCTGGTATTAGATGCTCAGTCCAGGATCTCCTGCCTCCAGTAACCTCTGTCCCCAAATGCATCTCTGTTCCTTACTTGTTTTTGCCACTGTTTCTAATGCATAAGCAAAATTTGAGAATGAGGTTTATTGTAAACAGATGACATTATACGGTTTTCAGGCCATTGAAAATTTGTGAACTAGGCTGACTCTTTTTTAGGCACTTAAAATTGAGTATTTTTCCTGATAAATGCAAACATTTGGGAAGTTACAAGGCTGAAAATAACTTAGAAAATTATTTCGAACTAGAGGCTCGGTGCATGAAGTTTGTGCATGGGTAGGGTCCCTAGGTGTGGCCAGTGATCAGGGGCGATCTTTGGGGCGACTGGCCATGCGATCGGGGGGTCTCTACTGGCACCCGCCTTGGCTAGCCTGGTGCCACCCACTCGCCAGCCCTGTTCTCTGCTATTGACGCTGGCCGCCTCCCTCTGTGGGGTGATAGGCGGGGCAACTGGGGGGCTCCTGCTGGCACCTGCTGTGGCTGGCCAAGGGGGCTGGGGCAGCTCCCACACTGAGCGTCTGCCCCCTGGTGTCAGCGTGAGTTATAGTGACTGGTGTCGATTTGCATATTAGGCTTTTATTATGTACTAGAGGCATGGTGCATAAAATTTGTGCACATGTGGTGGTCCCCTCAGCCCAGCCCGCACCCTCTCCAATCCGGGACCCCTCGGGGGATGTCTGACTGCTTGTTTAGGCCAGATCCCGGGGACTGGCCCTAAACCGGCAGTCTGACATCTTTCTAACAATCTGGGACCACTGGCTTCTAATTGCTCACCTGCCTGCCTGCCTGGTTGCCCCCAACCGCTCACCCCCACCAGCCTGCTCACCCTCACTGCACCCCCTTCGTTTCCCTTCCCCCTTCGCCCCCCACCAGCCTGGTCACTGTCCCCTCTGCTGGCCTGGTCGCCCCTCACTGCCCCCCTCCCCTCTTGCTGGACTGGTCACTCCCACACAGCCTACTGTTCAGTCGTTTAGCCGCCCCTCACAAACCCCCCTGCTGGCTGGGTCGCCCTACGCAACCTGCTTGTTCAGTTGTTACTGTGAGGGTGTCCTGACCAATTTGCAAATTACTCTTTTATTAATACAGTTGTTTTTGTTTTGTTTTGTTTTGTTTTGTTTTGTTTAAAATATAGGATTCATGTTGCTTTATATTGTTCTCATCTTGAAACCTGTCTTTCCTAAGGTCCATAATTACGGGGGCATGGAGTTCTTTGGGGATGGATGGCAGTGATCTAGGGAGATCAGACTTATGAT